CTCGGCCGACGCAGCCCTTGGTATCACTCGGCGGCATTGCTCGGGCTTGTCTGTGATCGAGACGTGAGCCGTTTAACGGGGGTACGAGTCACTTTGATGATCACACCCCTTACAGATCCTCGTTCTCCGTCTATCTTCTCTTTCTCTCGTGCATTCACGTAATCTCTCCTTCTCCTTCTTCTTCTCTTCTTCACCTTCCGCACAACATCCATCGTACCAGAGAGGTACTTTATCAAAGACGCTTTACCTGACTAAAGTATTCTGTGAATCAGAACGGAATGCGGATTGTGCGAGACATGTTTTACTCGGGCTTCAGCTGGCCGACGCAACAGTGCGTTCTAATCGACCGCAGACGCACATTAGTACGCTCCGTACTAAAATTAGCAGGCATGAACGACGCCTTGTTTCCTGCAGCGCCGTTTGCGAAGAATCTGTTGGAGAAACAGTGGATCTACTATCGACAAGTCACGCGTATATCAATTAATTGGAGCCAGGATGCATACTAAACGAAATAAATTGCGTAATATTTTTTTTCCGTTTTGTTAATTCTTCAAATATTAGCTGAATTTGTCGAAACATTAGTTTTTGAAGCGATGCGATTTTGAAGCGATTTATGCCCATTTCGAAATTACGAGTTGTAAATTGAAATTACGAGTTGTGCAATAATAATGCTGGAAAGAGTAAAACTTTTTACACGATGACAACATCGTGCTATTCATATTTCTCTGACAATGAGTTTTATTTCTTGAGCAACATGGATGTTTACGCACCGCAGCCGTTTATTTAAGACATTTTAACCGACTAAATATTCTATGAATTAGAACCAAACGCGATGATCTATCATAAGCTGCGAGAATAATTGGAGAATGCGAGAACCTGTACCGAGCTTCATAATCGATCAAGGAATCGGCTAAAATTGAACACATATAAGATTCGAAGTCGAATTTATTGATCATGGGTAAGAAAGGCATTATCAAGCATAGTCTATTTTACAGCATCTAAATAGTTTAGAAATGATTATTAAATTCTATTCCTGTTATAGGAAAATATTTCTCGCATCTCTCTACGTGAAATCTATTCTTGTTTCTTGAACCAGCTGCCTTGAAACCCCTATTCATATTAACCTTTATTCAATACTCTTTTAAATCATATATATACAGCTTGGAAACCCATTTACGTTACATCGAAGTTTAATGCCTCCTTTCGGATCGGAATCAGCCGTGCATGCGTAGCGTAATCTTTGTAAAAAAAACTCAACATTTTCCCTTGCTGTTTTATATAGGATATAAAGCCGCAGTTAAGCGGATTTAACGGGACAAAAGAATATACGCGTGCACGCGAATTCTTACGGCTAAGTGAGATGTTCGGATCCCATATGGAGAAGGCAACGGGCTACACGTTCCCCTTCTTGAAGAGATAATGAGATCTCGATGCTTACCATGTGTTTCGGATGAGAGATAAGTGAGAGCCGTATCGCATAGATATTAAGTATAATTTAGTGGATTGGCCGGACGAAAAGGGAGGAAGAAGAAGATACCGAAAAAGGAAGAAACGATATCGCGTTATAAGAAACACGCACAGGTGTGTGTGAGTCTCGTTATAACAGGCTACATCCGCTCTGTCGTGTCTCTCAACGGAAGGAAATACTAAATAATAATAACGAGACAGTTATGCAATTATAACGCTGTTTAGGGCTTTGCGTGCAATATGGATGGACAATGCCTCTCGCCAACGTATATTAAATGGTAATTGTGGCGATTATTCTGTAAGCGTGAAAGTTTATAACTATAATATATTATTATCTCTTTTTCCGTCAAAATATTTTAAGCAAATTTATCGTATATAAGATTGATAAAATTTGTTTCGAGTTAACGTAATTTATCAATTTCTCATACTTTTATTTGCCATTTTATGTATCGCGACAATACTTTCAGTTTATATATTGTGCCGTGTTGTCGTACATGAATGAGGATAAAAGGATGACTATGAAGAGGCAGAAGTCTGTATAAAATTGCGAAACACACGGATAACGCTCGACTATACGAGGACACGGATTTTGTTGATCCGCGTGACGACAAATATTTTCAATTCGTTTGTACGAAAAAAAGATTCGTCGATTCGCGACTCAGATGCAACGAGGTGTGGAAGCATCAAAGGCGTGCGAAGCACTTCCGCGGAATAAGAGGATAATGTAGACTCGATTTGACGTCTTTGAATATTTAATATCGCACGAAGCCGTCTCATCACTTTCTTTCTCTCTCACTCGCGCCTTATCATGCGCGATGATTCAGACGCTTGCTACTATTGAATTACTATGGAATTAACGAAGGATCATGCTGTTCGCGAAGTAACATCGTGTTGCACATAACTGATCGCTTTCCGATATAGAAACATCATTTTCTATGAAATGTCTTCTTAGTTGTATTCTTATTACTCTTCTTTCTATATTAGACATATGACAGAAATGAGTAAAATGTGCAATCCCTATATAGTAAGTGAATATACACGAGATTCTCTCGACTTTATAAAATTTTCCATAGAACGCATCAGACATTTCGCAATTTCTTCAGCGCATTTATCGCGGAAAGGAGTTCTTACCCTCGAGTGTTCCACAACAGGCACGATTTTTGCGGACACATCCCGCTCGTGTCGTGCACACCGACGCTTTATATTTCAAATGTTGAACGCGACGATACCGGTGGGATGCAGTTTACGGTTTTTCCGGTGATTTGCCCCGCTCTCTTGCTGTACGCGCTCTCCCAAAAAGACGGTACCTCGGACCGCGCCAAGGTATAAGAGCAGTCGTAAGAAGCGTCGCGACGACGGGAGAAGGCCCGACCGAATGGCCTCATGCAATTCTAAACTATTTCAATGAAATGGGATAGAGCGACCGGTGGATTTGTTGGTCGCGGCACCCGACCCATCGTCTTTCTGTACCGCGAGCAGAGCACGAGAAAGAGAGACAGAGAGAGAGAAGGAGAGAACTAAGAAAAGCCACGCTTTTACACCGTCTCCTCGACTGGTTTTCCCTTTGTTCTAAAATTCTTACGACTTTCCTTACCCCCGTCGACTGCATCTTCACCGCGAGCAACAAAGGAAGTGGTCTGTAGCCCCGCTATAGTCGTAATACCCGGTATGTACCACCGCGCTACGCTCTCTACCGGGGTACAGAATTGTCTCCCCTTCCGCGTTACTATAGGAAAGACACTTTGTACCGTGGCCTGGATGCCGCGCAACTTTTTCAACCAGCCTCTGGGTTCAGCTAACTTCGAGGATTTTCGTATTAGCATATCGACTTATTCATACACCTCGCTTGACTTCGTTCTCGCGGTATCCTTCGGGCTGTATCGGTGCGCATGATGTAGCGGATGCTTGCAGTGTCGAACCTATATATCTCAATCCCACAAAATTTATTTTACTATACATATACGTCAGTGTGAATTTACCTTGTGAGAGACGGACGCCGGAGTGATATAATTCATAAAGAGAATTTTGATAATGCGGTCGTATTATTCATCAATTTTGCTAATTTATGTTAAGAGACATTGACAAAGAATAATTATATAATCAATTATTTGTTAATCGTCTGGTGTGCATTTCACAAGGAAAACTCGATATTGAACATGAATGAATACGCGATAAAAAAATAATAATTTGTCTTGCATAATTACGTCTGCTGTTCTTCGTCCTGATCAATTCATATAAATAATATGAATAGTCACCTAGAATAACAAGATTTCGCTTGTGTATTGTAATTACATTTACGCGCACTCAGTAGACCACTAACTGAATTTTCACTAACTGAATGATTTAGTCGGAATAATTGTGTTAACCGTTTTACTTCAATTATCGTTCGTTTGCGTCAACTATCAAATTGAAACGTTGAATTATGCTTATATATGAAGGCTCACAATTATTAGCCTTCTTTCATTTTAAATAGTTTAGCTCACTCCATGGAATTTCTTCTCGTTACATAAATTGATTTCACATCATAATCTTTTCTAATTTCTTTAGAATTCTATAATTTCATAGCAAATTGGATTCGACTGTAATATGACTTTTATGAGACTAAGAAAAGTTAAAAATTTATGTATAGGAAAATATTTAAATAAGTGGAAGAAAATTCGAGAATAAATTATAAAGGCGAGCTTTTTTTATTTTCTTAAATATTTTCTAATATTTCTAGTATTTTTTAAAAATATAGTATAGAT